GTACTTGTTAGAGTGTTAGTTTAGGATCTGAGGGACACAGGTTCAAATCCCCATTCAGCCACAAAGTTCACAGGGTGGACTTGGACAAGTCATCTCTAAGCCTACCCTACCTCACCAGCTTGCTGAGAAGAACAAGTGGGTATGGTCAGCACCATGTATAACACTCTGAGTCTCTTGGAGGAAAGAAGAAATAAAAATGGTAGCCACTGCTACTAGTGCTCCACTGACCCTTTCTTCTATCTTATGAGGTGGTATACTTATGCCCCCCTTCTCTTCTCTTCTCCTCAGGTGATGTGCTGGTTGAGGATCTTGAGGAGACAGAGCACTAGATCTGTGGTCTATAACCTTTTTCTTTCATGTTTCTCTTCAGTCCCTTTTCCTCTCCCCCTTCCCCCTTCCTGCCTTCTTCTCCTACTCCTTCTTCCTCTGCTGAACAACTGGACTCAACTGGACTGTCAACATGGCTGATCAGCACTGACCTTTCCCCTATCCACTTCTGGATGCTCTATTCTCTCTCCATCTAACAGCTTTTGGGAGGCTCAGAAGCTTCATGCTGAAGTCCTAAAAGCCAGAGGGACACTTCTGGGAATACGCTGCTAGCACTGCTCCATTTGGGAGATGCCTCCAAGCCCTAAGCCCTTCAGAGAACACTTACATGTTTGAAGATCTCTTTTCTTCAGTGCTCTGTATATAGTTTTTGCTTTAAAAATAGATTTCTTAAAGAAACATCTAAGCTCAAGGTGGACCTAACTGTGTTTTTAATGGAACTGCAGCAGCTCGAGAACTTTCAACAATTTTCACTGTACCAAAAAAAGGGGGAAAAAAAGATCAGGAAGGATGGGAACTGTGCAAGTGGCACCTCACTGACACCCTCTCCAAAATAAGTTAGCATGGCATTACAGATGGGGACACTAGGAGAATGCTTTTCAAACTCTCCACCTTTGTAGAACTCTCTCCATATTGCAAAGGATTGTGGGTGGAGAGCAATGGTGGGCAGATTTCAGGCATACGTGCTCTACTTTGATTTTTGACACTATTCCAAAGCCTACCAATTAGAGGAAGGAGCAAAATAGCTACAGGTAGTCCCCAGGTTGTGAACGTCCATGTTATGAGCAACCCATACTTATTAATGTGTGGACTGCCGTAAATCCTATGTGAATATCTCTA